TATCATTGGGTTAGATGTGTGTTCCAACGTTGCAAAATTTTAAGCGTTTGCTTAGAACAGAACAAAGTTAATGGCGAAAGCCCAGGTAAACAATGATCCCGGGTTGTAGATCAACTCATCCACAGGAACACACCTAGGGACATCTGGGGGGAAAGACAAACCTTCCCCCATTCCCTCACCGACTTGCGAGTCGCATTGCTGACGAACAAAGTTCACGAAAAGGTCCCTACCCCTCAGTGTCCTCTAAAGTGTATAACCAGGTCCCCATCCCTTATCGTCGTCTTTTACAACAAGCAGCGTATTCTTAAACCCTATGTATGCTATGAGCCTGAGACAAACAGGACAATATGTCAGCAAAATAAAAATTAATTAAATAAAATATCAAGAAATAAACAATACACCAACAATGACATTCGTTATCATTAAATAAACGAAATAAAAGTCCAAAAGATACAAAATTCTTGTTCTTTAACTTAAAAACCATTATAAATTCATTTGAATTGATAATTAATGACTTACGTTTGTTACTAGGCTTAAAACTTTCAACTACATACTATATATGAAGTTAATGATACTTTAAATTACGACTGTAACTCTAATCTTTATATATATAATTCTTTCGTACAAGTGGATGTCGCTGAACTCGTCCTAAACGGCTGACGGATTTTAATGAATTTTTTTGTGGGCCTTCAGGTAGATTCGAGAATGGTTCAGATTCACAATTCGGTCCACTACAATGTTTTTTTTTTTTTATTTTTTCTATTTATAATGTTATATGTTATTGTCGGATTTAATTCGTGTGTACAGGACAAAGTCTGTCTTGTACTCACGACCTGTACTTAGACCGCATAGATACTATACGTAATACTATATGGTAAGCTTGTTTTAATAGATGCTCTTCGGAAATATTACGCTACCGCCGGGCTAAAGTGCCTGACGGTTATGGAATAATTTATACAGAAAAATTACTGAAATAATCCGTAAAATGTTTATATTAAAACAAGATAATTAAATATTTTAGAAATTAAGCGACGGAAATTCGTCTTAATAACTGATAGAAATAAAACGAGTAAATTTAATTTCTTAGCTTTTAATAATAGTGATATTAGATAAAACTAAACCGAGCACTCCCTTTACTTGATCAAAAAGAGAATCCGTCAAAACAGGCGCAATAAAAACTCAAATCCAAAAACTTACTGTTTGTCGCAGTGGGATTACAGATCGTTGATGACGAAAATTCTAATTTCAAATAGGGTTCAACAGAATCCCAACGGATAAATGAAACTATAGTAATAGTTCATCGACCCGAGGATTGCCAGACAGTACTCGCCGCTTATGCGCTTTACGCTAGCCCACGACTTTGATTAGGTATTTAAAATAAGTATACCTTTCAAGTAATAAATAAGCTACCCTGTTGCAGTTAATCTAAAATTTAGATTTACTAAGAGACATAGGCATATATAGCAGGGGGGCCGGGTGGGCCACCCCAATGTGGTGTAGTGCCCACGCCAGGATTTTGGGTTACCGATTCGAAATTCTAGGTTGGACACCAGCTATCCTTCATCGCCAAAAGCACATTGAAACTGAGCGAGGCGAGCGAGGTGCAATGTAGATATTGAATTTCTCGAATTTTCTCTACTATAATATGCATATATACTACATGTAAACCTTCCACTTGAATAATATCTATTTCTCATTAATCGCATTAAAATTCGTTGCGTTGTTTAACAGTTCTACAGTGTTCGATTTTTTTTTGTAGTAAGGGCCCATACCCACCCTGAAAAATAGCCCTAGATACGCCAATGCTAAGAGAGGGTAAAAAAGTAAGTGAAAAAACACAGATAAGGGCATAAGTATATCATGGCCATGGGACCATCCTCACTATCCTTACTAATATTATAAAGGCGAAACGAATGAATGGATGTTTGTTACTCTTTTACGCAAATACTACTGAATGGTTTTTAATGAAACTTTACAATAACATAGCTTATAGATACATCAGAATAAGACATATGCTTTAATTTACGAGTATATACATATTTTATGTAAATCTGTCTTTCTGTCTTAATGTTACACCTTCAGCCTATTCTATGCAGACATAGTCGCGGGCAGTAGCTAATATAAAAATAATTGTGAAAATTCCTCTTTTGACAGAAGTCACTGTTGGCCTTTCAGAGGTCTTTACAGCTTGATCGGGCTTGAAGTGGCAGTGCGCTGAGGGCACCGAGCCTAAACCTCGGGAAAATTCCTCTATTTTATTATTCAATTTACCCTTTTTAGGGTTCCGTACCCAAAGGGAAAAACGGGACCCTCTTACTAACACTGCACTGTCTGTCTGTCCGCCTGTCACCAGGCTATATCATGAACCGGAATAGTTACAGATACAGTTGAAAATTTCATAGATGATGAATTTCTGTTGCCTCTATAACAACAAATCTTATGATCTGTTTATCGCTTATCTGTTTAACACACTTCTATTTTTGGTAATGTCACATTTGTATTCAGAACATGTTTATATTTTTTCGGCTTTGCCTGACTCCGTAACAATAAGTGAAAATAAACGCTTTTCTGTCTGCTACGTTATGCGTTGTTTCTTTAACCAAGTGCACACGTATTTGTACACGCCAAATAATAATACTTTACGTTTGAATTGTCAAATAAAAGTTCTGCCTTTTATAGTACTACTTAAAACTCACCACAAACGACCTTTGCCCCACGATAATGGCTAATTTTATTGCCTGCATTTGAACTACGAATTTAACGCATATCAGGAATAACTACCCTAAGTTCCAGAACAATAAAAACAGTTGGGTGTATATGAACCATTTGGTTCATAGCAATCTGCGTTTATGGTGATCATCGGCATACAAATCGATTAAAAGGCATTTATATTTATAAGAAATAATAAAGTATTTGATGTAGATGTAATAATCTAATATATAAAACTCTCGTTTCACGGTCTTTATAATTGAACTCCTCCGAAACGGCTCAACCGATTTTCCTGAAATTTTGTGCGCATATCGCCCAGGATAATCGGACATCTATTCTTCATCCCCCTAAATGTTAAGGGTGGTCCACCCCAAACATTTTTTTTTACCCTACAAATAATTTATATGGCAAAACAACGTTTACCGGGTCAGCTAGTCTATATATAAAAATGATTCGCTGAATGTGTTGCTAAGCGCAAATCTCGAGAACAGCTGAACCGATTTCGGTAATTCTTTTTTTATTATAAGGAAATGGTTCTTACAGAGAAAAAAATTTAAAAAATTGCCTGAAAAAGTCTAAGAACAACACTTTTCTATATTCCCATACAAAAGATTCGTAATAATGCTTAAAAGTAAATTTGAACTTTAATACCATACCATAAAGTTTAAGTGTTAGTGGAGCAATTCCGGGAAGGCTAAACAATTGAGTGACTGTGGTAAAATGTCACTTGAAATGTAAACGTACTCTTTGCCGTATATCACTACATAGTATAAAACAAAGTCGTCCCGCTGTTGGTCTGTCCCTATGTATGCTTAGATCTTTAAAACTACGCAACGAATCTTGATGGGGTTTTTTTTTAACTAGATAGAGTGATTCAAGAAGAAGGTTCATATGTATAATACATTGCACCCGTGCGAAGCCGGGGCGATTCGCTAATGTTACAATAAATATTTATTGCAAGATCATCCTAATTTCATGAATAACGTTTTTTAGTCTACTTTGCTATCTCTTAATTGTAAATAGATGGCATTATTATATATTCTTTATAAAAATACTCGTCTATTTTTCACAAATAGAACCAAACATACGCTTTAAACTTATTTTTCAATCATTAAAATGGATGAAAATAAAAGTTTTCGCGATCTGACAAAAAGCGCCTTTTAGAAAGAATTTAATATACAACAGATAATATGCTCAAACAAAGACTCTCCTATGCCACAATCGAGCTTTACAATAAATACAACCACCAAACGTTTGATGTTTTTTGTGGAATTATAAAATATTCAGCGTGGAACCACAGCTTAAAATGACCAATTTGCGCATACTAACTTTCACGTAAGTTATTTAAGTGTTGATACGATAATCCAGTCAGATACCTAAAAAAAAAATTCTAAATATATATATAAAAACAAAACTTCTACCGCATGAACTTTTTACGAAATAGGGATATGACTTTTAGTGTTTTGTTTCTTTACAGCCTCATGCATCATCCTTCGCAGGGTTAGGTGGTCTTCTAAGATGATTCAAAGTTTATCTAATATATTGTATTTATGTTTGGAGGGTCAAAATGACATGACTACAATTGCTGTAGTATTTATTCGTGTAAACGCGATAAAGTCCGTTAAATAGTTTGATTTGCAACATATAGCATTTGCATGTATATATAATATGTTGATCCAAATCAAATGTTTGTATGTTGATAAACGTGCTTACATGAATATCATCGGTAGAGGACTGAATATTACAACTGAATATTTCCAATAACCGTTAGATCTAAGCTTGTTGATACAGTTGCCTGTGGAATAATTACGTCACGTCAAGGATTACTTTATATAACTAGGTTTCTTACGCCCTTTAAATCCGCCACATTAACCTTATAACATCATATGATACATTACGTAAAATCAATGTAGCGAGCAATAGAACGAAATCACAATATATTCTGACCGGAACTTACACATATAGATACTAAATTTAGATTTTGACCAGTGAAATTGCACGTAAATATATTATAAGAAAAATTATGTTAAATTATATTATATCCTATAAGAAAAATTGCTTTCATAAATTAATAAAGTATCGATTTTCGAACTCATCCCGGGTAACATTTACGTAACCTTAAAAAACCGTTAACATACAAACGCGCTCAATCAAAATTACACATGCGGATACTCGACCCGTACAGGAATAGCTCCTGCTGCCATAAAATAAGATTGGCGATCATGTGTTTCCTATGAGGTGAATTTATGGTGTTTACGAAACTGTATCAGCACCGCGAATGGGTCACTCACTTGGCTTGCGTTAAAACAACGATTGTGCCGTCGGGGATGCACTCTTGATGGATTATGTTGCTAAAGGTGGTACAGCGGGTATTAGTTGTAGGTTAGCTGGCTATTGATCGCGAACGCGCTTGACCGGGCCCCGTGCGCGCTAGCGGCGGTCTCAGCCGCGACTGCTAGGGCGGCCGCCCGCCCTATCGGAGGGTTCCGACTACGGCTGCGCGTACCGTGTTTTGTTTTGCCGACGGCCGCCTTAGAGCCCCTGAAGCCGGGAAAATTGTCCACGTGAATACAATTGTTAAAAAAATCGAACGTTCTCACGTTAGAATTTTCAGACTTTGCTTTGAATTTAGAACGCATAAATAACGGTGCGAGGATTCTGCCGCGAAAAAGTTGCGAGTCGCATCCAGGTCGCGACGCGACGTTCCCAAAAAAGTTGGGAACGTTGAAATTTGAATTGGAATTAAGAAGAAAGTGACAAATCTAATTCGCACTGTCAAAACTTCAAAGATTTCTGTTATGTCTGACCCTACTGCAATTCTTGCTGAAATCTTAAATGCTTGCCTAAGATAGTTTCGCTGGGAGACAGTTGCGGGAATCAGGCAGAAATTCACGACAATAACTTCCGGAGTGTCTAAGTCATTAGGGCCCTTATTTTACAGTGGAGACTTTATTCTTCAAGGATGCGGATTAAAACACACATTCATGACGGATGTTTGTAGTGTCCCATAAGTAAATGATAAACCTCAAGACTACAACTATTCGAAATTTTAAATGCGTTTTTTATTCTTTTTTTAATGTGAGAAGGTGGCAAACGAGAATACGATTCACCCGATGTTAAGTAATAACCATTGACACTTGCAAAACCCACTTTTAGTACCAGTAGTAGGGTTGCCACCTTTTAATAAAGTTGTCCCCGACTACCTCTCACTCACCAGACGAAACGCAAAAGTATAACACTTCCAATTAACGCCGGTCTTCTGTGAGGTCGTGTTACTTACCCCGACGGGCCTGCCTATTCGTGCAACAGTGAAGAGTATTGAGTGGGTGGGCGTAATCTCTGTCTTATCCATATTCATCGTAAGGCCCACCCATTGGGAGACACAGTTGTCCTCCAGCTATTCTGCCATGATAACTATAATATCGCAAATCGAAGGTGGGTGATGTATACGTTATTGATTTTAAAACCACGTTCTTTCCAATCCAGGAACTTGGAAACATCTCGCAAAGCAGCGGTGAAGAGTTTCGGGGATATGACATCACCCTGTCTTACACTCTTCTGAAGTTGGATAGGTAATACAGCAGTGTACAGAGTAATCATCTCGACGGAAGCGAGACGATTTAAGATGACTCTCAAAAACAGAACGTAGACGCGCCTCAAAAGAGATATGGGTACCTATATAGTTCTTCAAGGGAGCATTATCGCCTTTCTTGAAGAATAATACCACATCACAACTGCTGAAGGACGAGATTATAGTGGTGTTGTATGACTTGTTACTTTTAGCATCGGTTCTCCACCCGCTTTCAAAAGCTCGGCTTTAATTCCGTCCTCTCCTGGATTTCCACTTTTAAACTGTTTAAGAGCCGTTTTAATCTCGCTCAGACTGACGTCGGAGATATTTTCGGAATAAATCAACGATGTGTAATGAGAGTTTTCTACTACTCTCAATATCGTTCGAAACTTCTGGTAGTGGAGATGATAGCCCGCCTTTAAGAATTCAACTTAATGAACTGGCTCTGTCCGATAAACAGATCTCTGGCGAAGATTTTATACCCTAGTTTTGGCTGTATAGCCCTTAATACGAGCTGTATCGATTTTGCTGTTGCACCAAGCGGCAGGCTTGTCCGAGAAAGTACCACGGCTGCACAAAAGACCAGCGTGAAGTGGTCCCACTATTTTAAAGGTTGTAAACGCATCGCAAGTTTCAGGTGGACCACCTGCACACTTGACAGCTTTTAACATAAGAAATAAATAAATATTTATAAAATAAGCATGTTGAGGTAAAGAATCACTTGGACTTAAACTTTTCAAAAAACAACATTCAGTTAGCGTTGACAGAAGACACATTCTCAATTGAATATTTTATTCATGTCCACACTATTTTTAGATTAACTTGGAATTTATTTTTGACATCTTTCAGTAAGCTTTTTTGTTTTACTTAACACAATAAAATCATAATCAAACTAGTTATATAATATAATTTTAACTGTAACTTGATTTTTCCGCTGAAAAGAAAACCAAAAGCGAATCTTTGGTCGATCATTAAAAAGAACTGTTCTAAGTTAACATTCATCGATTTTCTACTATAAGCAATAAAATAGTCGTAATTTACATATTCGTCTAGACACCCAACATAAAATTAATGTCTGATACTTACACTGAATAGAATATTAGATGTTAGATCGTGTTTATTATAACAAGTATAAAGAAGTGGGCGAAACATTTGAACATAATCGTAGTCCTGCTTTCGATACATGTTAGTTAATCTAATATATAAAATTCTCGTGTCACAGTGTTTGTAATTGAAATCCTTCGAAACGGCTCGACCGATTTTCGTGAAATTTTGTGTGGATATCGGCCAGGGTGGAGAATCGGACAACATCTATTTTTTATTTTTATTTATATTTTCATTCTCCTAAATGTTAAGGGTGGTCCACCCCTAAATCCTTTTTTTTTATATTGAAATTCTTTGTTTTTATTTTTTTATGATACACCATACAAAAATATATACAACCCTAAATTCTCATCCCTCTAAACAGAGTTATATTATATATTTTAATTATTTGTTTAATTCGATTATTTAAGAGTAATTTAATGGTTTTTACTGTGGTAGGGCTACACAGCAGCCTCTGCTGTTGCACGAATGGGCAGGCTCACTTCATATCAGGTGTTTATACAATATCATAAAGAATATTAAAAGCAAGTTAATGAGTTATTACAATATTCTTTAGGAAGTATACTATTTTTGAGGCACATAATGCACGACTCCGTGGCGCAGTCACCAAGGTATTGAATTCGGCGTCGGGGGTCGTGGGTTCGATTCCCACACGTGACAACTATTTGTGTGACCCACAGATAGTTGTTCCGCATCTGGGTGTTTGTCCGCGTAAAATTTATGTTTGTAAAAACGTCCTTACAAAACAGTGTAATTTTAATCCAAAGTAAGGGCAATGTTAAAAAAAAACCAAATTTACCATAAATATTCATCCCAAATTTGGGATGATATACATAACTGAGCGTAACGGTCACGCGAGTTCATTGGTTTTTCACCATCCCAAAAGTGCCCGACGTGCCGAAAGTTTTCACTTCTAAATGGTAAAGCTTAGTAATGCTTTAGAAAAAGTGTTTTAAATTCTGTAATCATCAAAAAACTAATGATTCTAGAATTTCAATAAGATGTATATCGGATAAGAGGTGGACCCATCTTTTGATTTTTACTCTAAATATCAAACGAAATTAGTGTCTTCTTATGTTCCATGTAACTTTATGTTACCATATATACAATAAATTGACATATTCATATACTATGTACATGTGTGAGTTGCCATACTCCTCCGATGCGACTTCTGATGATCGATTTTTATGAAATTTTTATGTATAGTTGGCAGTCTGTGAATCGGTCGTAATCTATTTTTATAACCCTAAATGATAAGGGTGGTCCATCCCAAACATTTTTTCTACCCTACAAATTCCTTAGAAAAAAATTATATGGCAAAACGTTTGCCGGGTCAGCTAGTAATTTATAATATTTAATTAGTTTATCGGTTAATGACTTTAATTGTTGGCTATGTTCACTTTTTGTTCTTTTCTGAGCTTTAGTTTAACCAAAAACGGTGCGATCTTCCTATTTGGAACCCTCGTACGCGAAGCAGTCAGAGAATGTATGCGAATTGGATCTGCTGCTCAGAAGCAGCCATGTAAATATACCCTTCTTTTCCACAAAAGAAGGGCGAAATATACCGCCACCACGCATGAGAAGATAAGGAAAGTGCTCCCCCAGAAGCCACACTCATCTTAGGTAATGGAAAAGAAATTCTGTTAGTCATGTTACTTAACATGAATATTAAAAAGGAACTTAATATTATGGCTTTTTAATGAGCTTCTTAATCAATGTACACAAGCATCATAGTGATTTAGGAATCACAATTGTAATCAATTTGTTACCAATCAAAATATTGACCAATTGATACCTGCATGAACTGAAGTGAAAGGACCAAAAAAATAACCAAACTTAGTTATTAAGGAATTTATTATTGAACAAACAAAGTCAAAGTCAAAGTCAAATTATATTTATTCAATATAGGCCTAACTTAAGCTCTTATTGAACGTCAACAAAAAATGTACCACCGGTTCACTTAACTAGACCTGCACAGAGAAGAACCGGCAAGAAACTCTGCGGTCTTGTTCTTTTTGTTATATTTTTTTTTTGATGCAATTATACACACTTATTTAGGTATAAAATCAGCAGCAGCCAGGGGTCTTGCAAGTGCAGAGCAAGAGTCATTTCCAAACATCCTTGTCCTCAATGTATTCTTGGATATTATAGTATGCCCTTGCCATTAAGGTAGCTTTTACAAATTGTTTAAAATTGTTTATACTTAGTTGTTTGTGGATGTAACCTATTTTATTATAAAAGTTGATGCATCTTCCAAGAAACGACTTTCTGGTTTTAGCCAATCTAAACCTCAGTACTTCCAGAGTGTCACCACGGCCCCGACGCGAAGTGGACTGTTTTTTGTAAATAGGTGGATATTCTTACGTACATACATGATGTTCTCAAGTATGTAAAGCGACGGGAGCGTCAAAACGTTTATTTGCTTAAATATATGCCGTAGTGACTCACGTGGACCCAAGCCATAGACGGCCCGTATAGCCTGCTTTTGTAATACAAATATAGTGTCTAAACCGGATGCGGAACCCCAAAGTAAGACACCATAGGACATTATGCTGTGAAAATAAGCATAATAAACTAATTTAGCTGTTTCCATGTAGTTCCATCCCCATTGCAACTTGGAGTCAAGGCTTATTCCAAGAAATGCTGTTGAATCCTCAAGGGGTAGGATTTTCTCATCAATAGAGATTCCTGATTGGTGACACAACTTTGAAAGAGTAAATCTAATACATTTTGTTTTATTGGAGTTCAAAAGTAAGTTATTGGTAGCAAACCAGCCAGACACAACATCTAGTGTTTCATTTAGTTGTTCCAGTGCATTATCTTTCCTTTTAACTATAAACAATAATGAAGTGTCATCCGCAAACAAAACAATTTGAGACCTTTTTTCCACTATATATGGCAAATCATTAATATAAACTAAAAACAGAAAAGGGCCCAGGATCGATCCTTGAGGAACGCCCATTTTTACTTTTGACCCCGTTGACAATATACCATTTATGATTAGTTTTTGTTCCCTGTCAGTAAGATATGAGGAAACAAAGTCAATTGCACTATTTCGAATACCATAATATTCCAATTTCCTGATTAGAATTGTATGATCTACACAGTCAAATGCCTTAGAAAGGTCACAGAACACACCAATGGTGTCATGAAAGCTTTCCCAGGACTGCAGGATATATGAAACTAATTCTATCCCTGCATCAGTTGTAGATCTACCTTTAGTAAATCCAAATTGGTGCTGATTAAAAATTTTATATTTGTTAAAATGAACTATCATTTGATCCAGAATTATTTTCTCAAACACTTTGCTTAAGGCCGGCAACATAGAGATAGAACGGTAATTAGAGTGCATTATCTCTCGAACCCGATTTATATACTGGCACAACTTTACTATATTTCAATAACTTTGGGAATTTGCTACTGTCTAAACAAGTATTAAATATTTGGGCTAATGTGTAAGCAATGTCATAGATTATAAGATCAATTGCCCATATTGATAAGCCCCATAACTCTTCTGTTTTCTTTTTATTTAGATTTTTAAATGTTTTAATAATATCATTCGGGCCTATATGACAAAATTTAAAATCTAGAATAGAAATATTAACATATTTATCGAGATATGATACTGCCTCTGTGGGACAGTGTTGCAAATGTCTAGTAGTTCACAAGGTATATTTGTGAAAATATTAAGAAACTCATTTGCAACTTTATATTTTTCTTCTAAAACTTTGCCATTAACTTTTAATGTAAAATCTGCCTTTTTTTTATTATTTTTGCCAGTTTCCTTATTTATTACATTCCATGTAATAAATAAGGAAACTATTTTATTTGAAGACAATTTAATTTTATGACTCAAATAGTCTGCTTTAGCTAAAGTACAGACCCTTTTAAAAATTTTTGAATAATTCCTAACATATTCATGGAACTTAGGATCAAAAGATAATGACTTAATACCATATAGATCATATAGTTTATCCCTGCTCTTTCTAATTCCCTTAGTTGCCCACTCACTAAAGCAAAGTTTATTGCCTAAAGTTATAGTTTTTCTTTTTGGCATAATTTTATTAAATTCTGTAGTAATCATATTAAACAAGGCATTGAAATTGTCATCGGGATCATTATTAGTTAACTTTAATAAGGGTAGCTTGTGTTTCACGCTATCTCTAAACTGTTTAATTCTGAATTTATTTACAAGCCTACACTCATTTATAGTAACATTATTTTTGTTATTAACATAGATGTCTATTTTAAGGGCTTTATGGTCAGATCTAACACCACTCAAAATTTCTTGGTTAACGATTTTACAATTTACTATAATATTATCTATACAAGAGGCACAGGATGGGGTTACTCTTGTTGGTTCATCGAAGACACAGTAAAGATTAAATGTTTTAAGAAGTGACAGAAATCTCACTTTATCTGGAGAATCTGTCAGTAAATCAATGTTAAAATCACCGCAAATGACTATATTCTTTTTTATTTTAAATATTTTATTCAAGACGTCTTCAATAATTAATAAAAAGTTTATAAGGTCAGATGAGGGTGGTCTATAAACACACATTAATAAATAATCTTCTGTCTCTGCACATGCAATCTCACATAGTCGTTCAACAGAGTATGCAACAATATCAGTTCTTTCTTTTAATTTCAAAGTATTTCTATGTAGGATGAGACACCCCCCTCCAATAGCAGATACTCTGTTAAATTTACTGGCTACTGAATAATTCTTTATACTAAATCACATATCATTGAGCCATGTCTCAGTAAAGCACAAGATATCTACATTATACTTACCAATTAGAAGTTCTACGTCAAGGATCTTGCCAGAGAAACGGTTTACATTTTGATATAACAAGCTAACAGTTTTAACATCTGGTTTCTCTTTTGTCTGCCTTAAATTACTAAAAAAGTATGAGCTTCAGTATTAATAGACAGTCTATTTAATACTGGATTGTCATTATTTATATTATATGCTAATAACATAGCTATCTTGTGCCTAGAACACAATAGAGGCTGCGAATTCAATTTTGAATAATAGATGGTGCTGTGCTCTTTTTCATCGCGGTATTGCCTATACTTACGGCCATAAAGTGACATGAGAATTAAACGTATTCAGGAATAAACTGTCATCCTATATTTAAAATTATAAATCTTAAATATAGGAAGATAGATTACTTATAAATATTACAATATAAATTATGTAACTAAATCAAATATGAACTAGCTGCTGCCCGCGACTACGTCTGAGTAGAATAGGCTGAAGGCGTAACAATCAGACAAAAAGACCTTTATAATAAATAATAAATCAATTAATAAATAAACTGTAGCAAAACGTTTGCCAATTTGCTATCTATTATTTTGCTTTCTAAATTTGGGCGAGAGGTTCGTTCTAGAAATTGTAAATTGGGTTGCGGCATCAATCGCTTTGAACAGAATATCGTATACAGTCTACGTCAAATCTAATTACAGTGGTGGCTCGAGGCCTATACCTGAAAGACGCCTGGTTTCTGAAACACTGATCATCGTAGAAGGCAACTAATCAGCTGTCAAATGGCTTTTCTAATGTTATTTAAGTTGCCAAAAGGATGCTTAAACTATTTGAATTCCTTGTATCTTGTATTAACTGATGGTTTTGCTTTCAGTCCCGAGACTATTAAAGCTTCATCCGACGCAGAACCGGTGGGCTAGCCAGAACCCACGGGTTACTATTTGAATTGATCATCCTGATCACTAAGAAGATCATTCTGATTACTGCAGTATACGAGCATTAATATTCATTTAAATACTGATTCCTTTATATTCCAAATGCGCGCCTTTACGGTGTAAAACTAAAACCTACCTTTAAGCTATAAAATTACTATAAACATGGAAACATTTATAAACTAAGTTTAAACGAAATAGTGTTATGCAAATTTATAATTAATTGGGGAAAATTACAACTCATATCTTTTTTTTTTTGTCTTTTTTATAAAACATTGCCCTTACTTTGGGATAACATTATCCTGTAATTATATAATGTTGTAAGGATGTTTTTACAAACATAAATTTCACGCGGACAAACACCCAGATGCGGAACAACTATCAAAATCACACATATAGTTGTCCCGTGTGGGAATAGAACCGCGACACCCGACGCCGAAGCCGATACCTTGGCGACTGCGCCACGGAGTCATCGAATCATATATAATTCATATCTTATATAAATATATAAATGAATCCCTATTTCCCTTTGTCACGCTATCACGCATGAACGACTGGACCGATTTCACTATTTTTTCTTTTGTTGTGTTTGTTGGAGGAGGTTCTTATGAAAGAAAAAAATAAAAAAATTGCCTGAAAAAGTCTAAAAACAACACTTCTATATTCCCGTACAAAAGATTCGTAATAATACTTAAAAGTCAATTTGAACTTTAATACCATACCATAAAATTTAAGTGTTAGTGGAGGGGTTCCGGGAAGGCAAAACAAGTGAGTGACTGTGGTAAAATGTCACTTGAAATGTAAACGTCTCTTTGCTGTGCATCACTACATAGTATAATACAAAGTCGTCTCGCTGTCTATCTGTCCTTAGTATGCTTAGATCTTTAAAACTACACAACGGATCTTGATGCGTTTTTTTTTACTAGATAGAGTGATTCAAGAGGAAGGTTCATAAATATATATTACATTGCACCCGTGTGAAGCCGGGGAGGGTCGCTAGTCTCTATATGTATATTAAGTGTATATTCAGACTACTAAATACTAGTAAACAAATCTTCCTTTTATATTTTTTTCGCGGCTTACCTTTAACTAAAAATATTATATATTATTTAAAATTTAATTTTAGAAAATTCCTATTTCCATTATATTTATATGTTCGTTGAATAATAAAAGAATCTATACTTGGTTTCACAATAAATTATTTATCGACTGAAAAAAAATATTAATTTTAATGAGACCAAGGGGCCTCCACTCCTTAGTTGCCCCGAGGCCTCCAGACCTCTAAATCCGGCCCTGAGTATAGTGTTTGTTGTAAATCATTTGTATATGCGTTATAATACCTTCTGAATAAAATGTAAAATCGGAGAATAAACAGAATAAGATACAATATAACAAAAATACTAATTTATATATATACCACAAATGATCCTTTAGGCTCGTTATCATTAACATTAGGTGTTAGTAAACATGACACTGATATTTATACTGAACACTGTAGAACATAAATAGTTCCGGATGTATGATATGTTACATATATGTATAGATTTAAAAATAATATTACGCTGCGCTCGATATAGAATAAAGCAAGGACATGAATTATAAACTAAAACTACTTCTTAATACAGTCGCAAGTTCCGTGGCTCCATTGCAAAAGCTTTGCTTGGTTAATTTTAGTCTGGTTACGCGTACCAACATCGTGACGCGGGCTGGATTATGTCCAACACGTGGCATTCGGAAATGCGACTGCCTCGGTTGTGAACTGTTCACGTGTTGTGAAATGCGCAGGTGAATGCAACGTGATTTTCACTGTTTTATAATAACTTCGCAAAAATGAATATAGGATTATTTATCAAGTGTTTTCAATGGCTTAGTCTTTTTAATAACATGGCGAAACGCAAATTTTTCAATGATGTAATTTCATACAATACTTTGTTTCTTTATTACATGTGACAAATAAATCAACGCTGAATCTAATGCATCAATGAACTTATAAGTATGTACAAAAACCTTCCATTTTTATTGCCGGATCCAAGAAACATTCAAATAAACAAAACGACTCTATTGCAACAACTCTACTCTACCTAAGACTATAAAACCGTTTGTTTATGTTCTTTCACAAATTTAGGTCACAGCTGTGAACCGATGATGAAAATGATCTAAATCAAGTTCAAAGAAGATCGATTAGGTAATATTTGCGTATAATCATGTTATCAAAAAGATGCAAAAAATTGTGTATGTTTTTATTATCGTTATTTACTAAAGCGTTATAATTATGATGAATGTATTAATTACTCTGCTTACCAATGTCACGACGATAAATGATCCGCTAATTTGATTCTCACTTTATTTATAACATTGCAAATGGTTAAGAATTCCTTATCAGTATATTCAGTGACTTTGTACTAAGTATTTTAAACTAGCTTTCGCTCGTCATAAACCTGGTAAAAAATTTACTTCCTTTTGTAAAATCATCACAAATTGAAGAAGGGAGAGCACACTCAAACAACGAATTCATAATATTATTAGTATATTAATAATTCCATTGTAAATTAAAAATGCCCTCCGGTGTTCTGTTCGTGGTGTGTATCCCTTCCAGCAACTACGAACATGTTTTGAAGTTTGGAAAACCGAAAGACCTCATTCCGATAGACGAGCCGACGTCGTTCAAGCAATGTCGACTGGAAGTTGAACTAAGGAGTAAGAAATGTAAAAGTATACCGATACATTTAACTCAAAACTATTACAATGATGGATTGAAAAAATCGCTGGAGAATAAAAAAGAAAATTACGAGTTCATCACAATGGAAAGTGTAAGTAATATCTTTCTTTTATTACGATAGTTATTTGTAAAAAATGCTACCAGTAGCAAATTACTTTAAAGTACAGACAGTAATGTATCGTTCTTTATTTTTATTCAATAACTTTCAAACATAATTAAAAATAAACCAACAAAATACTTCTTTAGAGAAATTTCCCGATTTCTCTAAAGAAGTATTTTGTTGATACACAATTTAAAAAATATCCCTCAAATTACGTATTGTAAATTTAAATTTTTAAAGTTAACCAAAAAAAACCAAAAAGTACTAAATTTCCAATACCCTGCTATTCCATTAACGTAGAGAACGTGAAAAAAAGTTTTTATAATAAATCGGTTAATAGTTGTTACCGAAAATATATACATATTATATCTATATATATACACACCGGCACAATTAGCGGAACACAAAAAAAAGCAGGATTTTAAAATCTTTTACTTGAGGAACTGGCCAGTTATGATATTTTTTTAATTTATTGTCAAATTTGAAAATAGAAAAATAGATGACATACACTTTTTTCATTCATTTTTTATTTTCCCGAACAATACGTTTTGTCAACTTGTTCGAGTAATAACTACGTAATTGTATTTTTTTTGAAAAATTGCACTTAATGGTTTTTTATAAATTTGTTATTCTATAGGCAATTTTGTTAATTAAAAGCTCTTTATTATGCCTGACTTAATATCACTGGAAATCATTAGGGCTGATGAAATGAGGAGAAATGGCCATACTACAGATCGATTGCCTCAAGACTTCGTCGACCAGTATCAACGATTCATCGCAGCATCCAGCGGTACAGATCGTCTAATTCTCTTGTGAGGAGGAGGGGTCAAGGTAGAAAAGATGTACATCGAGGCGAGATGACAGTTTTTTACAACTTGGAGTTCGTAGGAATACGCGATTAACGGCTGTACAAGCTCGAAATGAACTGGAAGACGTTCGAGGAGTACGAGTAAGTGAGCGTACAGTTCGCAGGAGATTTGAAGAAGTTGGTTTAGGGTCGTATATACCTGCCAAAGGCCCAAAACTTGAGAGACGTCACCGCGTTATAAACCGATTAAGCTATGCGCGAGAACATCGTCATTGGGATTTGAACGAATGGCAGCAGGTTCTCTTTACTGATGAGTGCAGAGTTCTTCTAAAACAGATCGTGGGAGACAGCGAATATGGAGACGCAAAGGAGAACGCCACATACAGTCTTTTTGAACACACAGTGGCTTATGGTGGCGGCTCGATTATGGTTTGGGGAGGGATATGTTTGGGAGCTCGCACGGAGTTAGTGATAGTCACAGGAGGGACCATGACCGCGGATCGATACATCAGAGACATTTTAGAAGAACATGTTGTACCATTTGCCCCATTTATTGGTGACGACTTTATTCTAATGCAAGATAATGCTCGTGCTCATAGTGCACAATCGGTACAGGCATATCTGAGCCACGTACTATACCGGTGATGCAGTCCAGCAAATTAATATGAATCCGATAGAGCATGTCTGGGACTTGCTAAAAAGAAGGGTTAAATCCAGAATGCCACCCCCAACAATCTGAATGAACTTGGAAAACGCATTACTTGAGGAGTGGGGGCGGTTGCCTCAAGAAATCATCGATAACATAATCTGTAGCATGCCCAGACGAATGGAAACCGTAATCAGAGCAAGAGGGGGAAACACTCGTTATTAATTTTGCTTTAATTTTATTGTTAAAATCATTTAATGCTTACTTTTTTTATTTTTTGTGATGGTTCATAATCATCTAAAAATTTCACTTATTTCAAATTTCCTTTATTTTTCCATAAAAAATAACGAAGACTTTTCAAAGTCGTTGTTAAAAGATGTTAACAATTTGTTATTTTGTGTCTAATTACATTTTCGCCAAATATATGCGTTATTATCTCATAGTCTCACTTTTTTTTCTGTTCCGCTAATTGTGCCGGTGTGTATATAAATACATCTAAACAACTAAACGAAATTTTCACGACTAGAAAGACTACTACTGCAGACAGTAAAGTTTTTAGTTTATGATAGTTTGTTTAAGTCAAACAGATAGCAACGTGCTTATTTAACCAATTTAATTTCTTAAAAGTACACATTCACAACATACACAACTAGAAATTACAGGCCGAGCTGCACAACTCTACGGCAAGAAAGATAGATAGTGAGTACTATACTAAGAAATTTGACGGATGTTCAGATCAAATTCAGGCTAAGAATGTGAGCTCTGACACGATTCTAAGACGATTTCATAATGCTGATATAAAACCTTATAAGACAGCAAACAACACCAAACTTCTCAGAGAATGCATCGAATTACCAGGTGCCAATTTGCTCGAGAGCACGTTCAATGGATAAATGAACATCGAATTATGTTTTCCGATGATCACAGATTTTTTTATATGCACATCATTGAAGACTAAGAGCATATAGACAAGCAGGAGACCGATATCAACAAGCGTGTTTTGAAGAAAAGGCACCATTCGCTGGAGCATCAGGAATATCTTTAGAGAGTCGTACAGATTTAGCCGTGATAGAACGGTACTCTGACGGCTCACAGATTGGTAGAGGAGACTTTAAATGAGCATGTTGGTCTTAATGAATGTGGGTGCAACTTCCAATTTACGCCCACAATGCTTATTTGATCAATGCGCTCAAATTCAAGATGTCGTCGGTATTATCTGACTTAAATCCCATAGAATATATCTGTGGTAGAGATGTGATAGACAACGCTTAACAGCTCCAACTACCTTACACAAGTTGAAGAATGCGTTATTGGCTAAATGATCAAACATACGCCAAAATTTGGTTTACAGCATTTCACTTTTAATCAAGTTGTACAGTCTCGTGAAGGAAACATAATGAATAAACAAAAAAAACTGCATTGCCTTTAAAACTGCTTACAAGTATTTATTTTTAAGTTGATACGTATTTTCAATTAAAATTATATAGTGTACAAAGCGTTTATGTTTTTTGTTTTATGTATTAAAAAAACATCTATAATATACTTTTACGAATCAATTTAAGATATTTATGGTACAATCACAGTATTTTAGGGACCCGTTTTTTTGCGACCAGTGTATATGATATCATATTTCTTTTATACATTTTTTGGCCAGATCATGCAAGAACTGTTAAGAAAATTTCATGTGGAACACGTGGTTTGGACCAGTGACAAGATGGGGAATTACTTCCAAGTAACTTTTCCTCTGCCGACGGGAGATATATGCGAAACAATGCTGCACTGTCTCACACAATTGGGTATAGGGGTGCGATGCAAATCCATAGTCAAGTAAGTTTTTTTTTAGATTTTTCGCTTCGATTTTATTTCTGGTTAAAAAATCGGATTAAATCTGTTTTTTTTTTTTTTCAAACTACTGTAGATTGAAATTTTATACGGATAATATCTACATTTATGATAATATTTATGATTTCACTTTTCTAAATTCTGATACTTTAATGAAACTTGTAAACATGGAATAAATAAAAGAATGAAATATAAAAACCCGACTGCATCAAAATACTAACTATTCGTCTAATTTTTGTTAGTATGCGCATACACCGTGTTAAAATAATATTCTTTTCATTTATTCTATCCTAATTATATAATTATATATCCTTACTTATTACTTATATATATCCTATTTTTATAACCTTTTTTATTGCTTCATTTATTTAAAGAATATTATTGACATTTTAAAGGGTATATACCCTAAGAGTTATGCCATAATTGAGACGAATCTAATGAAACCTCCTATTTAAAAAAATGTGTAGGTACATAAAACTGTCGCAAAAATTTTCATTGCTGTCAGAATTCGAATATGCGATTCAGAATCCAGGCGCTCCTTTACAGCAATCCCACTCTCTTAAATTACATTTTACACTGAATTAATGAGAATTAGAGATTTTTAAATTTACTTTTTCATTTCAGTGCTAGTCGAAAAAATCACAACAATTGTATCTTACACATTTTTAAGTTTCAACTTAAGTTCGAGACTAACGCTATAAATTAAAAATTTTACATTCCTCATATGTCGAAACCCGTCACCCTAGCATAGTCCTCCATGTGTCGATGTTCAAACTCAGGGAGAACACCAGAACTAGCTACCGCGATTAAAGCAATATGTGATTGGAATAAAACGAGTTGCATTTTTAAAAAATATCTCATTTCAGTGTTCTCCCTTGTAACGTTGTACATTCCGCTATCGAAGAAGAAGAATTAGAGGACGAAGCTCTACTGTATGTATTTTTTTAATATTTTACATTATGGTTCAGTAATCATATATACAATACAATAGATGTATGCAAATTCCAATTTGTGAGGAAAACAAATGGTGTATTTAAAAGAAGAGAAATTTACTTAAATCTTCTTTGTTTTATAATTGACTTCTAGAATTAAGTTCTATATACAGAACAAAAAAGTATTCTAATGGTTTTGAATTACTACAAAGTGGCATTTACATTTTGCCTGTCAACTGAGTCAAAAAATGCGGGAATATCATTTTTTTTTTATATTTGAAAAATGTATCACACTTGAAAGAAAATTATATGTAGGACTTAGGAATCACTTGCAAACACACTTGAAAATGGAACTGTAAATATTGAATTTCATCTGGTCGAAGCCGGGGTGATAAGCTGACTTTAATGTGTTATGAACTATAAAATGTAAATCTTTTCTTCACTGTAAGTTAAGCATATGTGATATAGCATGTTAACTAAGGGCTGTGGATTTTGTTGCTCAATAAAATAAAATAAAATAAAAATATGAAAATAAAATTTGAATAGACGTAAAAACGAAGAGGCGAACCGATGGCGCAGCTTCGTAGACTCCATTCGCTCCAAATTGACCGTGAAGCAAGTTGTCGATGGCGTACGAGGCGGCGGCGAGTTGTCCTTCGACTACCTGACTTTAATTATCACAGCAGAGTAAGTATACATAGACAGTAGAATTAAATAACAACTTTTTTTTTTCTGCCCACTAGCTACTGCCTGACAACGAGTCAATTGACTTTTGCAGTTTTCACACATATTTCATTCCTATACAGTATTTACATTGTAAGATAAAACTATTTATGGTTGTATACATCTCTCTTATTATAATAATAATCCAAAAATACATATACCAAACTTCTTAATGTGTACCAAATTACAGTAAAAAGAATACTCTTAGACTCTACAATTAGTTGCTTTTATTAATCTAATCCAATTAAACGTCTTAAACAAGAAATATGTTATCTAATACTAATTCAAATTCGAGCATTCACACTGTATTGATCGCTAGAGAAAATGTTTAGCAAATTAATTAAACGTCAGTTATTCTTTTCCTCATTCTCGTAGAAACTTAATTGCGTTTCTTCCCAAGCTAAGGGTAGCCTTGACCTCTTCATGTCTCTAAAAATATTCTTTGCTCCATTGTGTAATAAAAACGGTGCTTGTGATTTTTTTAATGGAAAAGGAGGCAAACGAACAGTGGTTTACCTGATGGTAAGTGATCACCACCATGGACTTTTGCATCATCAGAGGAGTTAACACTGCATTCCTGGCCATTGAAATAGCCTAGTCTATCCTCTTGAGGCCCCTAAGTAGTACGGGGCCAGAAAAACTGATGACGAAAACCGGTTCTAAAAATTGGCGTGCGTGGAGGCAAATAGGGTGAAAAACGTACAATGGTGGATCGCCTACCATGAAGGTGCTGTCGATATTCGACAGTTTGATTCGCTGTACGTTGGTGAAATTCCGCAGCATGTATTAATCCGAACAATTCCTCAAAGCGCTCCCCGTGATAGAAAACGCAGAGATGCAACTTCTCTTCGGCCAAAAGTTCGAAGACTCAAAGCGATCGGACAGGACCCGGCCGTCAACGATTCGACCAGCTAGTATTGGGGTGCCACAGACCAGAGACATGAACATTATTCCATGTGCGGTCGAATCTCTACAGATTTGTAAGCTATGGGCCGGTCTCGCTCTATTTACGACACCGAGCTTTTTAGAAACCAAATTGCCTTTCCGTTCCGAATGACTGCGACACTGAGCGCCGATCGATACATCAACGCCAAGAATTTCGATGAGGACTGAGGCAACAAAGGGAGTGCCCTCAAAAGAATTAGACACGTGTTCCTCTTTGTAAATTAAAATAAAACGACTTATTCATTTATACCGCCATCTTGAATTTGTTTAAAAAGTATTAATGGATTTTAAATATTTTAATCCACAAATCTCGCGCACAAATCTAGAAAAAATAATCCACAAATCTAATCTCCAAGCTCAACGGATTATTACGAATTTTGAATGGATATTAAGCTATACGCTGCGTCATGATTTATATATACAACACACTGTGTGTACTATACACACAACAATAATTAATAATGAAAAAATAAGTATGCTGCATTGACTTAAAAAGTATGTAAAGGACGCTAGAAGAATATGGACATCGCGATACACGGGCAGGCTAGTCCGGGTATTGATTCATAAACTTATATTAACGGTAAGCACCACGCGTCACAGAAGACCGACGTGAAGTAGCAGTGTACTACTTCTGCGTTTCGTCTGTTGAGTGAGGTAGCCTTGGGTCAAATTTACTATAAGGTGGCAACGCATCTAGTGTTGCAAATGTCAATATACGTCAGTTCACACTTAACATTAGGTGAACCGCCAGCCAGTTTGCCACCTTCTCACAAAAAAAATTTAGAAGACAAATAAAAATTATGTGTACTTACGTACGCACGTAAGAAGTTATACTTCTTTAGCTTAAAGACATTGAAAGCGATTGATGAGACATTGAATTCGGTTTATTTAAATAACTTCGAAAAAGGTAAAAGCTATGTTTTAAATCATGGTTAAAATTCTTAAGTACAACTTACACGGTTTTCATTTCTCTTGACAGTTCCTTGGCTGCCCTCGGCCTTGTTGAAAACAACGCCTCCAACATAGTAGCGGCGATGTTGGTTTCACCGCTAATGGGCCCAGTGATGTCTATCACTTTCGGAACGATCATAGCTGACAGAGGCCTCGTCAGAAGCGGCTTCGAAAGTTTGATATTGGGAATGCTAGCCTCTTTACTCTTCGGTTTCATATTCGGCCTGATTCTTGGCACTACTGAAATGCCCTGGGGCTTTGGAGATTGGCCCACTGAGGAAATGAAATCGCGGTAATTTAATCATACAAGAGTTTTTAAATTGGCTTTGTAATTAACTTGTGAATTTATGATAATTTATGTATTATACATTATCATACGAGTAGACTAATGATTTTTATGCAAACTATATACATAGGCTTGATGACTCCGTGGCGCAGTTGCTGAGGCTTCTAATGGCTTCAGCGCCGGGGGTCATGGATTTGATTCCCACACGGGACAATTGTTTCTGTGACCCACATATAATTGTTTCGGCTCTGGGTGTATGTCCATGTATTACAACACAGGATAATGTTATACTACAGTATTTTTTTCGCGTTTAATTATGTTTAGTCTATGCTGTCAACTTTAATGTTTAAATTATACTATAGACATGGCAAACTAGAACATTAGAACGTAAATCACCTCAGTCTATACCAGCCATACCTACTCAGTACAGTTTGCGGAACGTCACGAAACTCTATAACATTAAACGCGAAAAAACCGTAGTTTTGTACAATATACAACAGATACTAATGGACTGTTTTCCACATTTAACAATATTTTAATGTTGTGGGGTTCATCACTTGTACTTCGACAGTGACACCCACTAGGATCAGGTCTTTACGATCATTTTGAATACAAAACTGTTGCCCTTTTCATTATTACCTGTTTGATTACAGTGGAAATGTGAGATCTCTGTGGATGGGTGTCTTATGGGCCTTGACATCAGGCACAGGGGTCGCTTTAGCCCTGCTTCAAGGCAGCGCTGGGCCATTGATTGGCATTGCGATCTCTGCCTCGCTACTACCCCCCGTGGTCAACTGCGTGAGTGAAGCGTTAAGAACCGTATATCAAATACTGTTAGTAGGGCCACACATGGACAGACACTCCGGGAAAGTACACAGCCTCAATTAACACCGTTGTGATGTTTTTTTTTAGCGAAAAAGGAGCAGACGAGTATGAAGCTCACGGGATGGTAAGTGATCACCGCCGCCCATGAACATTAGCAACACGGGAGAGCTTGCAAATGCGTTGGCGGCCTTTTAGGGAAGAAGATGCTCTCATGTTGAAGGTTCCCATGTAGTAACAGTTATACTTTCTTGTTTCGTCTAGTAAGCGAGGAAAGCGGGGCCTACATTACATTAGGTTGGCGACACATTTGTTACCCCAGTGGTTTTGAAACAGTCCATGGGCGGTCATCACTTAACATTATGTGGCCCGTCTGCTCGATAACTAAAATTTCACCGTTATATTATACTATACTTATAAGTCCATCGAGTTTTGTACGAATTATACAGAGAAAGGGATGGTTAAAGCTATAAAGATATCATCGAGATTTTTTAATCCCTTACAGTGATAGAGACCAAAAATCTATCGCCGTACAGTTGACAAAGACAGTGATTAAAAACTTATTTATGTAACATTTATGTAAACTTAAATTTACATGTCAAATCCCGAAAATTTTTCACTGGTTTGCGAAATTTTAAGGTTTAATCAATCTGGTCTAGAATACTGTGAAAAACGCAAATAAGTAAGCAGTTGACTTATGTCTGTCTATCAACATTAAAATTTGGAAATTGATAGAGTTCTACGAAAATACAAACAAATTAAAAAATAAGAATAATATTACAAATACTGATATCAAATTGTTTGCCATAAATTACTATGTAATCTTTTTTTATCGAGCGTTATTGAACGTTAAAATATGTCCATAAAATTCAGGGCTTGTTTTGGGCGTTAGCGTGTATATGGCTGCTGTACCCCGGCACGAAGATACCTCACATAAAGGGAGAGCCGTATTTTGGAAATTCGTCGTACGAACCCCTATATCACTCATATATTCCAATAGAATTTGCCGTCAACGGTATGTATCGCCTCCCTCCTTTATCGCTTTTGGCATTTTGTTGCACAGTCACACACACAACCTTTACATAATATAAAAGATATCCTGTAGTAAATACTAATAACACTCATAAAATATTATTAATCACTTCACACTGCTCCACATTCAGTCTACATTGTACCCGTGCGAGACCGGGGTGGGTCGCTAGTGTAATTATAATACTAACTTTAATTACAGTTATTTGTGTTTAAGGATAATGCAAATATTTACCTTAATTTAAACATGTTTTCTAAGCGCTTTGGAAGGCTATGTTTGACAGTTTGACATGTTTTTACAAACCTTAAATGCCGAGTTATCTAAATGAAACATCGCTATTTTATAAAACCCACGCTAGCGTTAGCTTACCATAGTTCGTGTTCCCAGCTCCCAGCAAACGATTAATGCAATCTTCAGTCGGTTCCAACACCATACTTTAACGACAATCCCCTTCTATCAATGGCGACGTGTACGAACCTTCCTACGGAGCGTTCATAGAGCTAGTGGAAATTAACCATTTGCACGAGTTCTTCGTCTGATGAAGCTTGAAATTAAAAAAAAATATAGTCTCCATACTAGCCTACAACCATGAAAGCGAAAACCTTATTAGTTCCGATGCCCGCTCTACGTGTTTAAATATTTATAATATTTATAAAATCGACGCTTGAGTTCAAATTCCAAAATTGAATTAAAACAGATTTCGTGTAAAAAAGCCTGATGCGTATATACACAGCAATGTAGGTAAGAATATTGTTTTTTAAAGTGTTGCCTAGTCAGTTAAATGCCTAATCTTGCATATTGCTAACAAATGTTAAGAGAAAATGCATTAATTTGTGTGTGCATGCTTCTAGAATTATCTCAATTATCTTTAAACATTCCGTAAATAAAGTAATAAGTTTCCCAAACCTATAAATTTGAAAATCATCGTTATGGCTTATATTTCAATTGGCGAGGTCACTGTTAAAGCTTGGACATTCGTAATGACTGAAAACAACCAAATCAGCCGGCAACTAACACCGCACGCGACTTTTTTCAAAAAAATACTTTTTAATGTCGTCAATTATTTCATTTGAATTGCAGGAATAGTGAGCTGTTGTCTCACAATCGTAAACGTCATATGCATATTCATAACTGCAATCATGTTCCTGAAGATAAAGGAGGTGGCAGCTCCGTACACATCCACACCAGACTTGAGACGGTTCTGGGAGCAAGACATTAAAGTAGCACGAGACGCGAATAGAGCTAACCTACAACGAGCGGAAGATGAAGAGCGAGCTGAGTAAGTTTGTGCTCCGTCTGTAAGACGATAGAATGATAACTCCTCCCAAATTTATATATAGTTAAGATTTGTTAGTTTCTCCTTCTTTTGCGCAACACCGGAGCCACCCACAGATCGATGGAATTTTTTGTGAGTTCAAAGAACCCCGTTCTTACGACTTATGAGTGACTACTTACGACTACTTTGTATCCCGGACAATATGTTGTTGACTTTGACTTTATACTTTATCCTTCGTCATTACATCACTAATGTTATGTTGTTAAAAGGGCAAACACCGTTAATTCGTAAAACTCCCTAAAATATTTCGTGTACAACGTAATATGATTTTTATAACAGTTATTCGATCCGCAATATATGCCAAACGATTCTCCATGTGTATTGTGTCTAATACATTTAAACGAGCAATTCTTGTATATATATATATTTATAGTACCTGGAGGACCGAGCTTTGCTCGGTTTTTTTTTTTTTTTTTTTTTTGTTGTGTTTGGGAAATAAAAATTACTGAGTAATGAATATACATAATATTTTTCGATCTTGCCAACGTAATAATAATAAAATATGAATTGGTGTTTTTCACAAATGAAGGAACTTTTAAAAAAAGGGAAAAAAAGATCAAAATCATCTAGATGGACAAAAAATAAAAAATATAGAAAGCAATGATTTGGAATCGAAAAAAAGTAAAAAAAAAATAAGTGTGTAAATGTAAACGATCGTGATACGAACCGCGGTCGTCTGTTTTGGAGCCGCCCGATTACCGACCCAGGTATTATAACATTTTTTTTGTGGCGAAATTTACCGTCATATTCGAATGATATTTTTTATTCCCTGAAAACAGGGATAAAAGGACATTTTCTAAAATCATCCCACGAATCTACGCACTTACTAAATTTCATGAAAATCTATATAAATATATACATATATACAAGAATTAGACGAGACGATAGAGAGACTAATAGATGTTTAGGTAGATGTGAATAGTTGAGATAAATCATATATCTATATTCATCAAGTCATGTATAGTCTTAGTAAAATTAAAGACAGGATGTGGGAAATAGACTAACTACTACTTACGTGAATATTTACTAAATATTCTTTTACTTCAATTTCCAGGTTGGTCCTTGAAGATCTCAATGACACTACAGACGCCGAAGTAAAACAAAAACTAGAGGCAGCAGTGAAAGAAGCCTTGGACGATGACACTTATAGAAAAGTCAAACGGATGAGTTATCAAAGCCATACTGCTGACGAGGTATTAGCCATTAAAACGAGATAAAGAACTAGCACTGGTATAGGTTAAATTAAAGCACCGAAACAAAAAATATTTAATGAATTATTTCAATATTTATTGTTAATCTTAAAGTGAATTAAAATGCATTATTTAAACGGTAGACAAATTACAAATATTTTAGAGAATGAAGAATTAATTGATTAATTATTATATTAAACCCTTTTTATTCGATTAGGTACAATAGATCAAGTTTTATCAAATATAGACTGGTACATTTAATTCACTATCCAGCAGTGGAACATTTAAAGGCTGTTTCTTTGCTTTACTATTCTACTTAGTATTGAATTTTCAACTAGGACAATAACACTACTACAGCTAGTATTAGAAGACAAAGAAATTTTCGTGTTCACTAATTATTGTTAGACAGGTACTAAATTATTTCTCGTCAAACCAGATATAACAGGAATAAGAAAGCTTCGCAAAAAATTTTGTAGATTGTGGTAAGAGTCCAATAGATCAGCACTTTAACTGTGGTAGGGCCACGCAATAGATTTCGCTGATGCACGAATGGGGAGGTCCATCCGTGGAAGTATCATGACCTCAAAGAAGGTTGGCGTGAAGTGGACCTTCTATACTTCTGCGTTTCGTCTGGTGAATGAGGTAGCCGGGGCCCACTTTATTTAGTGGTAGCAACGCATCTGCAACCCTACGAGGTTCCAGATGTCTATGAATGGCGTTTATCGCTTAACATAAGGAGAACTGCCAGCTCAACACGCTTGCCACATTGTCACATAAAAAAAGAAAGAAAGAAATAATTGTGAAAATCAGTGAAACTGGCAAAAGATACCTAAACCTGGCAACGGCGCGCTCAAGCCTTCAGTAATCAATAGGGCATAAACTTGCCATTCACGAAAGCCTAATTTATCCTCCGAATTCACTGCGGGGATAATAGTTCTCAACCATTAACAATAATTAGATTTCGTATGGATGGAAACCATCATCATCTTACTGCTCTTATTCCACCTAGGCGGGATCGGCACATGTGAATCATGTTGTAAGCGGTTTTGGCTATGATTTTTACCACCGGCCACCTGCCTGAGGTCAACCCTGCTTGGGAAACAATCCCCCAGATGCGGAATAATTATCTGTGGGTCACACAAACACTTGTCCAGTGTGGGAATCTAACACACGAACGTGTCGAGGTCGTGTGTTCGATTGGGCACGTATGAATCGAAATAAGTACAAGTAAAATAAAAAAAAAAAAACTCACTGCAAACTGATTTCGTGACAGTTAAGATTTTATTTCACCCACATGCATTATTTTCTGGTTTAAGGTTATACGTACAATCGGTTTGCACGCCCACTCGTCAATCTCTCAGCGCTCCAGCATTATAAAATCTGGCATGAGCACACCATTGCAAACAATTCAAGAGGCTGGTAATATAAATGACATAGAAACATTAGATAAATTGCTTACATCACTACTTGGTCTAAGAGAGAACCGAGGGAGGTCGTTCCGTTCTCACCGCAATACACCAACCGTAAGCAGAGTATCGTCATTTCTCGGTAAACCGAAAAACGCGAGAAATTCAGAATCATGGCCGGAAAGGTTGTTTCAGGATAACATTGTCCGCAGTGTTCTCAACAATCTAAACTCCAAGCAAAACTCTCCAGTAGAGGAACCTTTTCTTACTCCTAAATAAAATGTTTCCTTTTTATAAATAATAAAGTTCTTTATTATGCATAAAACAATTTTATTGTAGCACCAGAACCTACAGAGAATAGCAACATGTACAAATTGATATAACATTTGATGTTTTCTATCACAGCAAGGCTTATAATTATTTTATACTGTTAAATTACATATTATTTTAATTTTCTACAATATTTGGAATCATACAATAAATAAATAGATCGAATTTTGTACTGAAATGGCTAACATGTGTGTACTGCATTTTATTAAATGACAATTGTCAAGAGCCTTTATTATTCTGATGTTTGAATTCAAGCATCTTTGAGTCAAGAGTTTTTGATTCTTTACTATGTTTTACTTGTGAAGTATATACATCATATCCTAGAGATATTGTATTGTCATATAAAACTCTAAACCGAGTTGGTAAAAAGTAAAAATTTATAATTTGTGCTGGTGGCCAGACCATCCATTCTGCTCTATACAATGTTACAAATTTGTCTCTTACTTCTTCCTTAAAATTTTCTAAAGGGTCCTCTTCAAACAGAGCCACACTACCAAAGAAAGTTGTTATCATTATTGGTGAAAAAATTAATTGATCAAGCAACAATTTCTTAATTACCATGTCTGTTGTTTTGCCAACTATAACCTTGTCTAATATTTTATACCAATGATGACACAGCACTCCAACGGCAGCACCAGAAAATGCCATATGCATTGTTCTTTTGAAATCATATCCATTTTGTTCCTTTGTATAGATCTCATAGGTTTGTTGCAAAATGTCACCAACTGATGATAGGCTCACAGATATTGTAACATTTGTATAAAACAAATATTTATCACTAAATGCTACTTTCACAGCTTTCCTAAAACAGGATACAGGACTAGATCTATATATATTTGATGCAAGTTTCCTCCAAGTTATAGCTAAGACTTGCATGTTTTTTATCTGAAAATAAAAATATTTATAGTAACATTAATTCAAAATAATCTGATACAAAAACTAGCATGTGTTAAATAATAACAGCCTACTACTACAATGTAGCAAACAAAAAAAATTTAAATGATAGAGAACTATAAAGAAAAGTCAAAAAGATCCGACACAGAGCACCCCAACTCCATGTGGTCTTGTGTTCCCTACCCCTGGAGTGAACATAATAAAACTCATGTTGGAGGTCCTGAGTACAGCGAGCCTTTGCTCGTCAGACCGATCCGTAGCGGAATGAAGGACCAATGGCTGAAGCGACACTCATGGGCAACATAGCGAGAGAAATAATTTTTTTTTAATGTCTTGTATTCAATTAACTCATTATTAATTCTCTCATCAATAATTTTTTTTTTGTTTGTTATATAGAAGAAGTAGCCTGCTAAAAATGTTACCCTAGCATTATTATTACATAGTTATTTTTGTATAAATCAAACATAAATACCATGTATGTGTCTTAATTTTAAATTTTCCAATATTTTAAACATAGCTTTGTTACACAAGCTAATTTTTGGTATTCTGTACTTCGGTTTTCTGAACTTTTCTATGTTTTACATGAGACGTATAAACATCATATCCGAGAGATATTGTGCTATCATACAACACTCTGTATTTTGTGGGTAAAAAATAAAAATTCACAATTTGTGCTGGAGGCCACACATACCATTCAGCTTTATATAAAGTCCAAAATTTGTTTTGTACTTCATCAGTAAAATTTTGCAATGGATTATCTTCTAAAATTGCAACAGTAGCAAAAAATGACAAAATTATCACAGGTGAACAAATAAACTGATCTAGCAGAAGTTTTTTAATAACCATCTGAATAGTGCGACCAGTTATTATTTTATCGAGAAATTTGTACCAATGATGGCAAATCATGCCACTTGTTAAACCAGACAAAGCCATTTGATTGGTTCTCTCATAGTCATATTTCTTTAAATTTCCGTTAAAAATTTCATAGCTTTGATCCAATAAATCACCTACAGTAGATATACCCATGGACAATAACATATTTGTATAAAACAAATTTTTCCCGCTGAATGCAGATTGTAATATATTGTAACCTCTAAGAAATAACTTTTTATGCACCATTAACTTTTCATATAATTATCTAGAACAAAAAAGTTATGTTACTCAGTTTTTTTGTAACATTTTTATGAAATGTCCATATCCAAACAAACATGTTACTAATTTTAAAAATTATTTTTCATAAACTAAATAAATGATTAAATTAAAACGGTCATGACATAAGACCTGAAACAGAACTTATTAGATAATACAGTCACGAAAGTGTAAAAAATTATTTATTATTTACGTTTATATTTTATCTCCGGTGCGTCAAAGGAATGGAAGATCCAAATAAACTGTAAAAAAATTCTTAAAAGTTTTGAGGTTTACTTACAGTGGCAAATCTAAGAAAATTGAAAGCAATATGTTGTCTAAAAATGTTTTGTGTATTCTTCGTGCCAATAATTTTATACTAAAACAGAGACAATGCTTGAAGATATAATCATTACTAATATAATAACAGTACTGTCCTATAACCTCCTAAGGCTAAAATAAAAGCATTCCTTAAAATACACGGCATAGCCATGGCGTATTTAAAACGTGGACCTAGACCTGTCACCTGACTGAACAGAGAACACAAATAAGTCAAGTTGACATTGACAAATGACAAGCCACACCACACCAGTCACCCAGTGCTACCAACTGTTCAAAAATAATACTTCTAAATTAATTCGAAAACCCACTAAAGTTGAATAAATTGAAGCAAACCTTCCTAAATTTAAAATCACGATTTTTTATATTATCAAGGTATATTCAATATTATAATTTAGGGTGGGATAATTCAAAATATACATACAAGACACATAGGCCTTGGCCTGACGTCCACCAAAGCACAGCATATTACAATTAAATTATATTTTTTGTTTAAAATAAGTACTTTTGTGTAGTTTTTTCTTCAAAATTGTACTGCCGCTTCAACAAAAAAACATAGCAGAATCGCTATTTTCTTTTTTGTTTTCGAAACAACACGTAAATCCATAATTATTACAACAACAACACTGACACTATTGAGAAACAAAGCAGTACTGACAATGGGCGGCCTACAGAATAGTGTGTGGGCTACATCCTACACGGCGGACTGCCAGGCTGGATAGTGAATGAATGAAACCCTTTAGGTCCAATTTTTTTAAGTACTTAGCAACAATGTTATGAAGAACTGAAGAAAGAATTAATTTGATCTCTAATTCTTTATTGTAGGCATTTTTCTTCTTCCTTGGTCTCTCAGTGCTGAAGATCGTGACCACATGTCATTCTCCTCCACTGCATGCGGTGCCTTGAAGATCGCACAATATGGCCAAAAAAGCAAAGGTCCCGTTCACGGCAAATTGAAGAAAGTAATGTGCAATATGTATCGAGTTGTCAGTTCTCCTAGAAGTCCAAGGAATACGCAGCATCCTACGCAACACCACATTTCGAAAGCTTTGATCTTACAGCTATAATGGCTTCTTATGCTGTATGTTTCGGCACCGTACATAAAATAGGGAAAACCAAGCGAGCGAGAAGTTGCACGTCGAATGCTACGGTTCTTAAAAGTAACAGCCTACACATGTCCCACTGCTGGGCAAAGGCCTCCTCTATACAGAGGGTATCAGGGCATAGTCCACCACGCGGCCCCACTGCGGATTGGCGGACTTCAGATATTTCAAAATATATGTATATATTTTTTTGTTATTATTTCGAAAATATGCAGGTTTCCTCACGATGTTTTCCTTCACCGCGGAGCACGTGATAAGTCAGCACTTAAAGTTAAAAACGTCATTGGTGCCGGCACCGGGGATCGAACTCAGGTTGCTCGAGTATATTCAATTAAGGCGAGCGCCCGGACACTGAGCTATCACGGCTCTTGTTGCACGGCTACAGTTTTTAGTTCTTACACAATTATCTTTTCGAGTCTAGCTAGTCATATAATATTATAGCACAGTAGGGATGGGCAAGTAAAAAAAAAAAAAATTCGATATTTATCGTATCGACATTTTGAAAAAGTATCTATAGTTATCGAGTGAAAAATATCAATATATCGATATATCGCCGGTTTTCGCATGACTATCCATATACAATATACATATTTACAAACAATTCAAAATTCATAAAAAAGATTAGAAATGAAGAAAATAGTTGAAAAGATTTTTATAGTTAAAGATACACGAGGAGCATGTTAAGAGTATCTAGTACCATTAAAACGAAACCTAAGTTGCGTTAAAAAATACATCAAAATTGACACGAATTTGATAGTCTAAAATAAATATCTAATAGCGATATATCGTGATAACTGATAATATAAACGATATTTTGCTTACTCTATTGACTTCAGATTCAGATATATGTAATTATTAATAAAAGTAAAAGTACCATTATCTATGTATCTTATCTATGAATGAAGCACTCTTTGATTGACTTTTATTATATAGCTGTTTTGTTTGTTGTTGCAGAATACAGCATATAAACTTCATGACGAAAAAAAAAGGCGGGAAACTTTGAAAGCTAAGCGCGCGTTTTTTTCTCTAAATCACATTTATTTAATTTTAGTGATAATAATCATAGAAGTTTTGTGTATATATGTAATTTTTTTACTTTGTGTAGTTAATTATTAATAGTAATAGTTTAATTTCTATACCTAGGTAAGTTTTATATATTTTATTATAATGAATGAACCCCCTGATCCCGGGGGTGGAGTCTCCGAGGTTGCGTACAATGTAGAAGTTTCTAATGGCGAGTCTTGTATGGACACTGATGCGTCGAGTACTCTTATCATTAGAAACGCTCACGTTTTGCAGAAATTTGCAAACATTGCAATAAAAAAAGGAGGAGCAGTCATTCTGGTACTAAGAATGACCAAACTAAGCATGCCTGTCATTGCGATAGTGATGAGAACAGCACCATTCTAAATAATGTTGCATCACCAGTAACAACAGAATCAAAAGAGCCCGAGCAACTTAGTGTCGAATATAGAAAGATTT